GAATATTATTTTATTTTTCTCATTGATATCATGATCAATGATGTTATTGCTAGTCTATACGCTGGAATATGTGTGTTTTGATGGTTTGAAATGGTAGAATAATATAATAACAGCATGTACTAAAAATTTCATCAACATTTGATCGCTAGTTAAAAAGTTATGACTGTTTGAATATAAAGGTCAAAATTAGCCAATTTTCAGGAAATTAATTACCGATCCTAGTAATGTAGCAAATTTGCTAATTACCGGTCAAAAGAGTTAATGTCAATAGATTACAAAATAGGCATTGTATTTAACAGTAGATAGATATTAGCACAGGCACCTGCACAGGCACAGGTTCACTAGTTTTATTACCCCAATTAGATGAAATATGAGCTGGGATGAAAGATCTCAAAAATCCTCAATTTTGGGCTCTCCTGGATCGCCAAATCAAGCTCATTATATCATGGCATCTCAGGGCTGAGAAGAAATGAGATGACATGGTTTATCATGATGTATATTTACATGTTCCCTATTATTGTTTCACAATGCTGGATCTTGTCTTATAAATTTAAGACATGAACATAAAAACATAAAATATGGCAGAACTTCTACTTTCAGATTTTATTCTGAAAAATCAATAAAGGATAAAAGTGATCAGTTTTTGGAACACTAAGTAGTTTTTTGTGACTGGTGTTTCTGGGGGGAGGTGTCACCTGTAACAAAATGTGATTGTTATATAACTTATTTGGTTGTGAACTTTTGTCAACTTATGGGTAATGTTTCAAAACTTACTTTTATGTCTATAATTAATACATGTATGTATGCTTTATTGAAATATATTGTTATCCTTTAAATAAGTAATATAAGAGAATAATTTTCCAGTTCAAACCCTTGTATCATACTTTTCTTTCTAATACCTATTTTTATTTGTTTTACATGTTTTATCTCTATTTTTATATTCATCCTCCCAATTTACCAACTATTAGCATGAGAAGTGAACATTTCCTGCTAAAGTAACACTCGCCCCAAAGTGATGCAGAACTTGAGTCACTCTAGGCCCACATCCAGGACATGTTAATTCATGACACATCCAGAACATGTTAATTCACGATGCATCCAGAACATGTTAATTCACGATGCATCCAGAACATGTTAATTCATGATGCATCCAGAACATGTTAATTCACGATGCATCCAGAACATGTTAATTCACGATGCATCCAGAACATGTTAATTCGCGATGCATCCAGAACATGTTAATTCACAATGCATCCAGAACATGTTGATTCATGATGCATCCAGAACATGTTAATTCACGATGCATTCAGAACATGTTAATTCACAATGCATCCAGAACATGTTGATTCATGATGCATCCAGAACATGTTAATTCACGATGCATCCAGAACATGTTAATTCACGATGCATTCAGAACATGTTGATTTAATCTCTTGATGCATGTTTTCAGCCCCCAGAGAGGATGAGTGGACAGCAGATATGGACAAACGACTCACCTCAACCATTGAATATTGTAAAAAACGGAAATTCCTGAAAACTGGAGACAAAGTAGTTGTCGTAACTGGATGGACGGCTGGAACTGGCCATACAAACACATTGCGTGTCTTTGTTGTACCAAAGGGCGAAGATCACATCAAGTTAGATGAAGTGACCACAAACTCAGATAAAGTGCCCAATGTCATGTTCTACTCTGATTCTAAAAATGAGCTATTAGATTAAGTATGAAATCTGTCTTATCTAGAATAAAGCTTGAGAGGCCTGTCATCTTGCAGTCATGTTGTGGCCTGTCAGCTTGAGAAATCTCGAGAGATCTGTTATCTTGAGAACAAGTGATGAGAAATCTTATATTTAAAGAGGCCTGTCACAGATCCTTTTCAAATTATTGTAGCCAGGATATACGTAATCTTTAAAATAAATATTTCTACCAAAGACTGATCAAGAACATGATCAAGAACATCCCATCTATTGTACCAAGAGGAGGGAAAACCCCAGAACTTAGAGATAACAGACATAGTTACGTCACTTGCTTGCCACTTTCATTTGTCAGAATGTTTACCTTCTAGTTTTGAAATATCACACGCTGTTGAGGTATTTTAATCGATATTAACATATTCCTTACATATTTCTTTATCTTGATGTGAAATAAAAACCTATGATATTTGTTAACATGCCGGAAGTTACCCAATATTATTCAAAGTGATTTTAGAAAATTTTGTAACTGCTCGTGAATGATGTCATTTGTCTGTTGACTTGACCAATCAGGATATGTCTTCTCAATACACATTTACATTATAGACATTTCTCTTATTTGAACACTGGAGTTTTTCCCCTCTTAATTTTAACGGGACATGCATTTCATTGAATCTCTGTGCAGAATATTAGATATCAATCTTTACCTCTTTAGTGTTATATATCAAAAATATACTCATTATATCGTTAAACGCACACATATATCCTATGCAGTCTACATGTATATCTACAATGTTTAACATACAGAATGATATATACATTTTTTATATTCAGAATATTCTGAGATAAATTATTAAGATCTAAAATAAAAAGTTTAACAATTATAATTAAAAGATTTTTCAATCCTCCGTTTAATGTAAGATTTATCATTTATTAGAACATACATGTACTTTCATCTGGCCACATCTGACATCAAGTCACTGCTCCCCTCTCGACTCTTGGTCAGTTATCCCATTGTGTAACTGAGGTAGACAAAGGGGGGGGGGGGATGTAGCCTAGAGAGTTGATCCAAGTGATTCAAGACACAATAAGGTAGTTTAAGTCAAAGTAGTTCTAGTTTTGACAAGAGGTGCCGTAACAGCAAGAACACAGTGGAGGAATTATTGGGAAATCACCAAGGTGCTTGCAATTGGATCTAGAAGGGGGACAAAACCTTTTCACCGATAACCAAAATATTTCTTTTTCTAAAATAAGTGTTCCTTTCATTAAAGTGCCATTTTTTCTAAAGCTTTGGAATTTGAAAATACCAGACAGTGGCCCCAAAAAAAAGTTTGGTCCCCTTAGAATGATCTGCCCTTCAACTGGGATGATTCATTGTTGTCTTTACATCTTCAGGGACTTACAAAAGTTACTGTTTAGTCATGATATCTATAGTTACAACTATATATCTATAGTTATCTAACATTACATTATTGTACATTTACTCACTATATAAATCTATGTTATTTTTATTTATTACATAAATATATGTATTTTTGCATTTGTTTTTGTAAACTTGCTTTATTTTTTATTAATTCAATGAATAGTACCAAGTACATCATACTGTATATTTTTCATGTTTATAGTAGTTTATTGCCTAGTAGTTAGGTTTCTATAATAGAAGTTATATCAGGATTGTTTTCTTTTTATTTGGAAATAGAATTGTCACTGTACATGATGCATCCAGTTTTGATACTGTAATCTGGGCTTGTTTGGTACTCCCTTTAATTTGGCAATTCATCAGTACGAAAAAATCAATTGTGGTTCACAACAATGTTAATTTAGATCAGATTAGCTAAGATACCGACTCTCTATTTGTCACAAAATGTGAACACAAAGATCATATCAGAGAACATTTCACATCCCGAATTTCCAAAAAGGTGTCAATATTTTGAAAAACATTTTGAATCTGCCAAATTAATAGTACCAAATGAACTCACTTTACAGAATATGGAAAAAAATCTTAACATGATACCTCTGCACTGGAGTTATCTATCATGTCATTATTGTATATCTTATAAATGGTGCATAATTTGTATATTTTATTTATATCGTAGAAGCTATTCTAGTAAATAAATACAGTCATACTCCTCAGCATTAAAGCAATTGGATGCTTCAATTAAAACCACTCTTAGTTTTTGTAAAGAATTATGAGGGTAATAAATCTTGAATTTTGGAATTTTGAAAAAATTTTGCATTCTGCATCACAGATCTGGAGCCAGATCCAGCGCCTATTGGTAGGAGGCTCAATGAATAAATAAGTATATACATTGAGCCTAGACACCTAGAAGAGGTATCTGGCAGAGGTCCGTGTTCTGCATCAGCATTCATGATTCAGTGTCTGTAACAAATCGTTACACTGTTGTTACCACTTGCAATTATTTGCTACTTGGTGACATCTTGTCATTCTAATCCCTTATCCATTTTATTTATCACATCAACCTCCAGATTTTCTAGTTAAAAAATGTTTGATTGATTTACTGTTTGTGCATTTTTGTAATACATTGTATGTACTAAATCATTGATGTATTAGTAGTAGAATATTTCATGCATTGTCATTGGAACATGAATGACATAAATTAGAAATAAATACATTGTCATCTAAATATCCAATATTAAGTTTTTTTGACTACTAGTATTTCCCGAGTGCAATCATGTAAATGAATAGTTGACATTTTGCAGGATAATCATGATATTCACCTAATGTGGGTCAGTCAAGTGAAGATACCATATCCTTAGGTGACCTAATGTGAAAACTGGATCCTCCCTAGCATTCCTCCCTAGCCTATTATTGGACAGTATGTGGCATCATACTCTTCTTAAGCCTATGGACACCCAATGGAGATTAGTTTATTCTTTATAATACCCAGGCCATGTGAAAGTCTCCTGTACAATATGAGCCTTTTGTGTTTTATTTTCAGTTTATTTAAGGGCAATAATGTTGTTTAACATAAGATAATTAAATAAGGTAAAGTGGCTTTTCATTATAGTTTACATTTTATATAAATATTATATAAAATACTATATGTATCATATAAAATATGATTGCTTTGCTCCTTAACAGTTGATGTTGAATTTTAGAATAATGATATACTTTTCAGTTACATGTCAAATTACATTTGATAATGTATTACCGGTATATACATTTATGATAAATAAGTATTATTTTAATAAAGTAATTTGAGGAACTCGCGGTCGAGTTACGTGTCAGCATTTCCATTATGATAAGATAATATTACTAACTATTATTTTTATTTATCTATTTCATGTACTATTGTATAAGAAAATGAATAGTAGTATGATTCATTTTAAAATTTATCAAGTTTACAAATTCATCTCTTTTTCAGAAGCGAAACAATCAGAATGGACAGATGACGTTGACAAAAGGATCAATTCGACCATCATACTATGCCGGGACCGTCAGTTTGCTCACCCTGGGGACAGTGTTGTCCTTGTGACAGGATGGAAGGCAGGGTCAGGGTCTACAAACACATGTCGTATAGTGCAGGTCCCTGATGAGAATAACACAATACCTTCTATTGGGGGTCTCCAATTGGCTGACTATAGCGATTAAGTAAAACATTAAAGCTACATTCCTTGCCAGACCATTTTTCTCCTGATATGGTAGCTGTCACCATAAATATCCCTTCCATATGCAATGCAAAACTTGGGAAATGTTTTGATACGGTCAATATTAATCATTTGAAAATGTAGAGCTCATTTGCAGTGGGCAGCCATATTTTGAAATTTCACACAGGAAGTGATGTCACCAACTCTCAATTTTTATAAAATTATTTTTTTATAAAAGGAAAGTAGCACAATATAACTTCTTGCCAAGTGTTCCTTAGTACTACTGAATCTGCAAAAATATCTGATGGGCTTGCCAACTAAGAATTAACAACCAACAACTAAGAAGAGATCTAAAAAATTAAATCAAAGACAAAATTAAAATCAGCATGCTAGTTTTGTCATTCTCAATTCCTCCATATCCTAATACTGTATGCAAATTTGAGAGTCTATGACATCACTTCCTGTCTGAAATCTTAAGATGGCAGCCTTCTTGAAATTAACAGTACATTTTTAAATGATCGATATTTACCACATCGAAACATTTCCATGTTTTTCTTTGAATGAAAAGAATATATATGATCATAGCTACCATATCAAAAGAGAAAAGATCTGGCAAGGAATATTACTTTAAACTTATATGCCAATGCTTTAAAGAGATGCTAAGATAAATTAAGCCTTTCCTATGAAATGTTGAAATTAATTGAAATTCTCACTTTAATGGAATCGTATGCTGTTACTTATAGAGGCTTTTAGAAAATGTGCCAGAAAATTTGTACGAAAAAATATTGAAAATAATATTTATATATTTCTTAATATTCGTCTTCATATGTTGAAATGTTTTAGAGACTGATTTTTAGACTGCTGGATGAATATATTTTAGATTTTGATATATTTTTGGTATTTTCCAGTTGTCTCTCTTATCATTGCCCTGTCAGTCCACATTTGGAGCTTTGTAAGAGCTCAACTTTCGGTTTCACACTCAAACCAAATTTTTCAAAATTCTGAATGTGTAAAAGTTGCATAAAAAGTTTATAAAATGACTCAAAAGTTTTACCTAAACATCTCTTTAAAGTATTTTCAAAATATGTATTCTGAGGTGAACTTATATTATCAACGCTATCTGGTATATACACATAGCGATTTGATAACTATAGAATATTGTCCTTACATTCACAGTGGATGATCCGAGAACACTTTTACTGTTTGCTACTTTAATATATTCTTTAAATATTAGTAGATGGTTTTATATATATGTTATTTGATAATGTTTATTTATGTTTGAGGAGGGACTACATTTTAAGTGAGGATTTCACACAAGAGGAATTCACAGTCCATGGCTCTTTTTATTATAATTTTTTATCTATTTTCTGTTGCAATATCTGAGGCACTTTGGAGCTTGATGAACTTAGAGTCGATGTTAGAGTCAGATCAATATTTTGTTTTTACATAATCTATATTCAGAGTAATTGTGCTTTTCAATTTACTTCCTGTGATATTTTTATTGTACCAAGTCTGTGAAATAAATATTTATTATACAACAAAGAAATCATATTTCCAGTTGTGTGATTTTTATTTAGTGATTCAGATGTACAAAATATTTCTCAATTGTGAATATACTACGTAGTCCATGTTAATAAAGCTGAAAATAAAGAAGTATAAAGATTTTTATTCACCAATCTTGCAGTTTTTCCTAAATACAGGTTGACACAGAAAATTCATAACATCCTTGAAAATTGACACTATCATGCATATAAATTAATCTCACAGAAGTACAGGTAGTATTCATTTCATATCGTCAGATAGTGTGGATATTATTCACATGTGGTGCGGAACCAGCAGTTAAACAAATTGATAGGACATGCTTATTTGGAAAACATTGAACTAGCTTGTATTTCTGTATTGAACTTGATGCAAAGGCAGTCTTTAGACATGTTGGATGAGCTAGGATGACTCAAACAAAGCTTGTATAAATATTCACTGCTTCATTTTACCCCTCATTATACTAATTAATCTCAGAGAGATATACTCACTACTGGCTCAAGGGATTGTTCTCCCAGAACTTCAGCAACAACAGCCTCATATAGAGCTTTCTCTGCCATAAGAACATTCTGTACAACCTCAGGGAGTTCATCAAACATTTTGTTCACTTCAACAACCAGCTCTTCCTCCAGTTCATTTTGGAGTTTCTTCAGTTCAACCTTGGCTGCCTTCTTCTCTTCCTCGAACTGAAATATATTGTAGAATATATGCCTTACATGTAAGTGACATGCTTTTAGAAACACCCCCTCCCTCCCCAGTATTTATGAACAATTAGAACTGCAAGACCACAGTACATTTCTCGAACTCCTTATCGTATAATGTTGAATAAATAACTTTGCCATCAAAGGATTGTTGTAGTCCTGATTTAGTGATTTGACTTTGAGGTTTTTAACATTCATATACAAATACAATTCAGGTACCTCTTTGTAAAGCTTTGTTCCTGCGACAATGAAATCCTGAAGAGACTCTGGTAACTCATCAAACATCTCATTCAGTGAATCTTTCATGGCCTCCATCATAGCAACACGGGCTTTCTCAATCTCTTCTACAAACTCTTCATCTGTAATCTCCTTCTCTTCTTCTTTCTCCTCAGCCTCATATTCCTGAAAAGTGCACATTAAATTAGATAGGTTACACATATTATAAGTTATTGAATGATTTGAAGTGCAATACAGGATATATTCTGCTCGAGAAATTCCGTGTTGGAACGAGACGAAGTCGAGTGCCAATACAGAATATCATGTATTGCACTTCAAATCATTCTATAAAGTTTTTATCGTGTCCCTTCCGTACCAATATTTTCTGTATTGCGACGGAGATGATCAATCTCAGTAGCAATACAGATTGGTACAGCACAAGAATTGATCAATCAGAAGGCTTCATTTTACAGATCCTACGATAATAGCTACACTTGTTTATGGGAACTTTGTGAACGGGGTAATATTATGACCCCAGGGATTAGTTGGCTTATATGGGGACATCTATAGTCAATCGAGCAATAATGGACACCAAGATCGGAATAACCCACAGAAGACCACAGCGCTATACTTTTACTAGTTTCAAGTTCGCATTCTTTAAATCAGTGCTAACGTTAAATGGTATTTGGTACCTTGCTCGAACGATGTGCACCCAAAAGTATTCACATTACTAATACCCTGCTTTAAAATGCTTAAAAATAATTATATTTTATGTTTTTTTTTACTTTAAAACATGCATTTTTGAATTGAATTCCATTCAATGGCATGCCTTGATGGAAAAATATTTTAGCTGAAATCTCAAGTCGTCGTTGATTTATACAATAGGTAAAAAACTTTTGATTGCACATCAAGTAAACTATTTGTACCAAGAAAAATCCCTGATTTATGAAAGATACATGATGCTACGCATTCCGGCCAAAGCTAGGATGTGTCTTACAAAGCAAATAAATACACCCCTCAACCCCTCATTATATTCATTTACCTCAATGAGATACTCACCACTGGCTCAAGGGATTCCTCTCCCAGAACTTCAGCAACAACAGCCTCATAGAGAGCTTTCTCCGCAATAAGAACGTTCTGTACAACTTCAGGGAGTTCGTCAAACTTCTTGTTCACTTCAACAACCAGCTCTTCCTCCAGTTCATTTTGGACTTTCTTCAGTTCAGCCTTGGCTGCCTTCTTTTCTTCCTCGAACTGAATAGATATTGTAGAATATCTTATATTTATGCAAGCTATTCAAAGTTTGATTTCTGAAAATCAGCTTTGAAAAGATCAAATGTTCTCAAGGACCAAAACCCCCATCATCCCAAATTGATTCAGCCTGAAAAAAGTGCTCAACGTCCCCTCCCCAGTATTTAGGAGCTATCTGATACTTAGAACCAGGCCTACATGATTTTAAGTATATATTTGGGCCATGCTTAATTCTTTATTCAGTATGTTGAAGAATAAATTAGTTTGACTTCAATGACTGTTGTTGTAGTCCAGACTAAATCAGCCTATAAACTGATAAATATAATTCTATTAGCCTACCTCTTTGTAAAGCTTTGTTCCTGCAATGATGAAATCCTGAAGAGACTCTGGTAACTCATCAAACATCTCATTCAGTGAATCTTTCATGGCCTCCATCATAGCAACACGGGCTTTCTCAATCTCTTCTACAAACTCTTCATCTGTAATCTCTTTCTCTTCTTCTTTCTCCTCTAACTCATCCTCCTGAAAAGTGTATGGTAAAGAAGTATGTTTATGTTAGAGACGGTTCACAATCCACAAATAAGCTACATCAATTGACGAGAACCTCTCTATTTTTAGTCTTATAAGATTCACATGGATATTCTACTAAGTGAAGGCCACATTAGTTGATACCCTGCTTGAAAGATGTCATTTATTTATACGTGCTTATATTGTGTCTTACATTAAAATATACACTAAATATTGTGAGGTCAATCAACACAATCCGATGCAAGGCTTCAAATTGAGGCGATCCTGTATTCATTCATAAACCACAGTCTCCCGATTTTCCAGTTCTCTTCTTCTGTGATTGTATTTTAAGAATTTACCTGCTGCTGCGTCTCCTCATTAAGCTCAAGGATCAGTTCTCTGAGTACACTTTCATAGGCATCTTTATATGCGAGAAGGTAGTCTTGCATAACCTCGGGAAGCTCATCGAACATGGCCTCAACTTGTTTCAATAGTTCTTCGTCAGCGTCATCACGGAACTTCTTCAACTCTTCCTTGGTCTTCTTTCTCTCATCTTTAATCTACATATGTTCAACGATAACCTCAGATTACATTGATGTCTAAACATTCAAGTAATCATGTTTAACATCTATTACTGTTGGATGTTGTTTTATTGTGTAAACATAGTTAATTAACTTATGATGAACTACTACCTTTTCGTACTCGGTTGTCAATTCTCTGACCAATGCTTGCATTTCCTCTGGTAGCTCATCGAACTGTTTGCGAGCCTCCTCTTCAGCGGCCTTTCTGTATTCAGCACGGGCATTCTCCAATTCTTTCACCAGCTCTTCCATATCAGCCTCTTCATCCTCCTAATGTAAAGTTTATTTATCAAAAGTTTAAACAGATTTCGGACAGTCATATGTTGGATTTTGGCTATTTTCTGAGGATTTGAACAGGTGCATATGTTATGCCAATGCATAATCTAAAGGAAAAGCACTCATAGAGATGATAAAATAATTTCGACTTTGAGACAAGGAAGATGCAAACAACCCAACCACATTTTTCTGAAACGTCTTGATTTTCAAGCCCTTCCACCCCTGCTTTTTCAATTTTTGTTGCATCAATATGTTGCGTTTCGACACAAATACTTTCCGTCCTCCTTTTTATTATTTGTTGACTGTTGATTTATTTTTTGATGTTTGGGATTTGTGATTGTCTTAGTTCAACACAGGTTCAGACCGTTTTACAATCCATTTACATGTATTTATCCGCTGGGCAGATTAACGGTTTTGTTAATGTTATAAGTATATCTCGACTACACGTGGCAACTTGGGCCCAGATTTTAACATGTGTAATGAAATCCAAAAGACACCAATTTTAAAATGTTCAATTTCAACGTAATGAACTAGACGTTTTGAAACCCTAATAGAATGCTTTTACCATAACAATCGTGATTACGGAATTACCTGTTTTTCTTCCTCCTCCTCACCAACGATCTCAATAAGGACGGCTTCATATAGGTTTTTGTAGCTAACGAGAACGTTCTGCACGACGTCTGGTAGCTCATTGAATTGCTCCTCTACACCACGAATCACTTCATTTTGGAACTCAACACGAGCAGTCTCGATCTCCTCTGCAACTTTACCGACTTCGGCCACAACCTGAAATACAATTGTTTGCATTAATTAGTATTAACCCAAATACTGTAGGTTAGACGTTATTAATTACGCGGGTGCAATTTAGAATCATCGGAAATAAAGTTGAAGCTAATGGGTGAATTACAATCTTAAATTATAGAGTGGGTTATTCCTAAATGAGTCAAATATCAGCATACAACATGTACAATTCTGCAATGAAGTAATGTTCCGACCAAGTGAAGAACAAAACCTGGACAATTATTACCTTTTCAAGGTTGGACTTAGCTTCAATCATTTTAGTTTGGAGTTCCTCTGGGAAGTTCCCGAACTGAGTGTTGGCCTCAGCCTCAATGGCTTTGTAGTATTCTTCCCTTGCTTTTACAAGCTCATCCATCAACTGTTCGATGGTAAGTTCTGGTTCAACAGTCTCCTCCTTCTACAAGATTTAACAATACAGTCCTTTTAAATATCCATTTGAGATCTTATATTTAGATATGTTATCGATGAAATCAGTCTTAGTTGCCCTAATGTTTTCTATATTTCTCAACCCTTGAATATATTGACAATCAATCCAGTTTTTAACTGCTAGTATGGAAATTTTTTTCGTGTAGAGCTCGAATGAAGGCTATTGTAAAAGATATTTCGTTCAGAACTCATACATTTCGAATTGCAATTTGATTAGTCCAGAGTTCGAACTTTAAGCTAAAGTTACCAACTTAACATGATTTTTATTAATGGAAACATGTACCTCTACAATTGGTGCCCCGAGGGCAAGAGCCAAACAGATGGATAGGACGACAAACTTCATCATTGCTAAATTGAAATAAAAATTAAATGAAAGTATCACTTTGATTAATAAGCATGTTATGGTGTAAGAATAGAAAACAAACTATGTCATATACTAGAATATAGTAGAGCATATGATGAAATCTAACATACATATTTCAATCAATATTCGGGTGATGAACTCTAAAATAAATGTAGACCAATACACAAAGTTGTATTTATTAATTATTTCTTTATTAATATTCTGATATTCAAAAAACAATTATTCAAACATAGTTTTAAATTTAGTTTTAACGTACCTATTGCAAATGACTTAATGACTTCCACGTAGACAATGCCATATTTTATATTCAGATATAGGATGGGACTTCTTATCGCTCAATGCTGATAGCTTGAGATACGCCATCGTTTCAAAGATAGGAAAAGGCTGACGATATCTGCTGATAATTCAGACAATATAATTGTACACGTGTGCACTAAATCACAACAAACCTTTTGGGCATAAAGGTAGCCATTGTTGATCATAGTTACAACTAAATAATCAACAATATACAATTGCATTTTTGACCATGTCTTGAGGGTTTTTCCAATGTTGCCCATTGCTCTTCACTTTGATGTAAGATAAATAAAATGCCTTAAGCTTTTAAAAACACAATAACGTTTTTTGGAAATTTGAGCTCAGAATGTCCTAATTTCTAGATAAGATCTTCGAATAAAGTCCATTCTTGATAGCATACAATTATGAGATGCTTTGATTCAAATTTATCGAGGGGTAGCGTGGGTTTTTAAATACACCGTCCCTTGCATAGATTAAATAGTATATTGTACTACAATTAAATACAACAATATAGGCCTACGTGATCATTAAGTTCTCATAATATCTCTATTATTTCTTTATTTTTGTAATAGCCTATACATTCTTATAAACATGATAAAACGCTCACCGAATGTGCAGCATAGAATATCGTATTAATCAAGCAGAAATATTTAGTACAACAAATATTAGTAGGTCTATGAGCATTTTATTGATTTTCCCTGGTCTTGTCATATTAGAGAAGTTCATTTTGAATTGCACTATCCCCAATCTCCTGTTCTCTAGGTTCAATATCATCTCGGTATTTCTTACGTATGTTGATGATCTCTTGAGCTGGAGGGACGATAAAGACGAACAGTGCCATTATAAACATAAACACGTGGCTAAACGTTATCCAACCTTGAAACGCATGAAACTCCAAATAAGGCATGATCATTAGAATTCCTGGAAGTACGACAAGGAAGATCAAAATAAAGCATGTTCCACCAATGTAAGCTGCATTTCTCGCTCTTTTAAATAGTTGCTCCATCTGTCGAAATGACGGCCTGTGATGGTATTCTATGTTCATTGCCGTAAGATTGTTCTCATATTGCTCCACCCACGGGTACAACGGGTTGTCAATCGCTAGAGTTTTATCCCATTCACGTATACAATCATTGTCAGAATTTGCCTTGCAGTTAGTGACAATGGATACACCGATGCAAGTAAATAGGCTGATCCCGAAGCTAAGACAGCAACCAACAAGAATACTGAAAATGCCAAACTCAAAATTCAACTTGCCATACCCATAAATTGAATGTAAAATATTAAAGAAGTGAAATTACGCTTGAGATGTGTGTCGAATAAAGTCCTTGAAATATATTCTGCGTATTGTATTAATGCCGCTCCACTCAATATGTCAGATTATTCAGGCTTTCATTGAAATGAAGTTTACCTTGTCTCTTGAGCAGTGTTCCTGACAAATGATTCCATGTTTTCTAAGCCTCCTGGGTATGTTGATGCTAAACCGACCATGGAGGAATAACCTACCAATAGCCCCAGCAAGTTACCTAAATGTAAAATGTTGTCTCAGATGAGAATAAGTTATTCTCAGATTCTGAAAGGTGATACATTTTAGAATTTTTCGTTAAAAACCATCAAGAATTTAGTATCATTATCTTTTTAAATGCTTCAGTTTTGAACACTGAAAGAGTATTTTTACCTCGAATGAAATTAATTTCCATTAATTTTCCTCCTTTATTGGAAAATTTAAAGCATGAGTGCATGTTCTATCCCTCGCATATAATGCACGAGAGCGGAGCCCGAGTACGTTTTCAAGATGGATTTAGTGTATACCAGACTTGCCAACCTACCGTTTTTTTACGGGAATCTCCCGTAAATTTTTTGTTTTTCCGTAAAAAATACCAAACTCCCGTACCGTTTTCTCCCGTAAAAACTCCCGTAAACTCCCGTATCGTATTTCTACTAAAATCTCCCGTAATTCTTTTAAAAATATGGCCGTAAAATCTCCCGTATATTTGCTGAAATTTCCCGTAAAATCTCCCATATTCTGGTATAACTCCCGTAAAATCTCCCGTATTCTTGGTATAACTCCCGTAAAATCTCCGATTTTTGCTGTCGAAATCTACCGTATTTAGAAGGAATTTGACAGATTTGTGACCTTGATTATTGCAGGCACGCTTCTTTCTTTTACTCCAAGAAGGATTGGCTCTCATGGTTCACTATCGATACTTTCTTAAATAACTTAAAAGTAGTTCATTCCCATGATTCAAATTGCTTTTCTGCGATCAGTTCGGAATAAGTTTGCACACCAAATGTCCACAAACGGGGGCCAGTTCTTATTCTGTCATACTTCTGTCGGGAGAATACATTTTGTTCCCGTTTTTCAGAAATCTACCGTAAAAACTACCGTTTTTTTCCAAAATCTCCCGTAAAAACTCCCGCTTTTTTCAAAAAACTCCCGTAAAAACTAACAGATTTTGAAAAAACTCCCGTAAAAGTACCGCAATGTTTTTAAATCTCCCGAAAATTTTTCATTTTAGGTTGGCAAGTCTGAGTACGCACATGCATGGATGCTTCTAAATCCAATAAAGAATGATATAGGGTTCTTTATTGCAATTCAAATATCCTCATTGGCTGAGACACACTTGGCATACAAATTGCATTGTAAAATGGGCATGTCATGGCTCAATTTTGAAAGCTTCAAATGAACGTGTATAAATGTGAATTTATCACTGCCCTTTGTAACTAATGTGGACCTTGGAATTGTATCGTATCTCAATTTATTGGTTGAGTTGGTTGACCCAAACCTGCAATTACAGCAGCTCCCGTCGTTTTGGACCACATCACGGAGAGAACAACAGTCGGGAAACAAGAGATGGTGCTCACCGCCCCAGATTGTAACGCCCAGTTGAGATTAATCCCAGAATTGTTAATAACTAACCCCATGGGGACTATAGCTACAGTAACCCAAACGATACTCCAGGCTTTCAAATTCCGCAAGATGTCCATGTATTTTTTGTATTCACCATGCACTTTGCAAGTGTAATCTGGGAGAACTGCAGATTTTTGGAGAGACCGTGTAGTGTCGTCATTGCAACAGGCTTCGCAAGATTTCACCCCTTCACATGAGCAAAGCTCGGTTTTGTTTCCATGGTCTTCACTTCTAGTTTTGTAGGTACAAAGGCATAGAATACATTGATTTGGCGGAACTTGAAAAGACCTGCAAAATGAATTAAATATGCGCTGAAATGAAATACAAAACAGTATCGACAAAAATATGTAATTTTGATTTATTGATTTTCAAAATCTTGAATACTGATGAGCCGAACTATATGCTAAAGCTGATAAATCCTGCCACCATACATCAGAGAATCTTGAATATATTTGCTATCATGGTGAAGTCATAGGTTGTATTTCTTAAAATTAGCAATAAGCTAATCTTGTTTTTGCATGCTCGAATTTTAACTCCAACCAATTTCGCCAATATACCATAGTATTTCTAATATATCAAGATCAAGATACAGTACCTGTAAGGATTGAAGTAGACTTGGTAAATGTCGTAAACGATGATTGACGATATGGCCATGATCTCCCCAGAACCCGTCGACATGAGGGCCATACACACCATTGCAAGGATCATCACCTCTCCAAACACACCAAACAACTTGTGTAAGATTAATGGCGACACCAAGCCTTTAAATAAACAACATACCTAAAATATACAGTCATTTATCGATATAAAGAATTCATGTATCGCGAAACATTTGTATCTAACATATCATTTTTGTAGATGTAGAACCGACCAACCGAGTGTTTTCATTAGTGTTTTTGGGTTCCTTATCTATATAGCAATGAAATATGAACTCTATATGTGTGTCAGTCATGACTAAATTCATCACCTTCATCAACTTGTGTGTCAGTAAGCAAAGGGGCCCCTTGTTCAATACTCTCTGAGAGGTAAATTAGTCCAGTAGTTGTAGTCAGAGGAATCGGGATAGCGAACCAGATCAAGCCACCGATGAAGAACCCAATTACACCTAAACACAAAACAAAAAGGCGCATCTCTAGGTGACTGATTTTAACAATGAGAATAAAAACAAAATGGAAGGGGAGACGTTTGGTGAAAAATATTCTAGTCATGTATTGTACATTTTCCATTACTGCTTCGGTATTCACACGTTGTTTTTATTAATTTTTTAAATTTCAAATTCATTTATGATTCATTCCATATCAAACAAACACAAATTCCGCACATGGAATGCAGAAATTGAATTGATTGAAAGTCTAAAATACCAACTCAGTCACACATATCCTTCAGAAACCCCCAATTTATCAACTTGGATACGATTAATGAAGTATATTGGCATCAAAGACAATGAATGTCAATATGCTAGAATTGAAAACGATTTAATTGAAAATTCTAAATAAATGCTATAAACCATATTTCGCATACATTTAAGACAGGGACCAAAAGCCACATACAATATCTAGTCTTCTGACTCATCCTTTGTTACAATAATTCATAAAGCTCCAAAAAGGAGAGACTACATTGTAAATCTATATGGTGTTGGAATACATTCGTTAGTCAATCTTGATTGTTTTTAAAAAGTTGAAAACAGCTTTCAGAAGAAGTATATCATCATTTCATTCTATTCTGTGTTACTAGGTAATAGCATGTTAACCTTATTGGAAGGGTTGATAGTTACTGTTGACAGAAAATATGTTTAACAACCAATAAAATGGAGATCTATATGAAGTTTTTAAGAAAAAATACCACTGGGTTTTGATAGGGCTTTCAGTATTTCCTGCCCAAATCCTTCAATACATGCTTAGTGTGACATTTCAATTTTGGTAATTTCTCTACAGTGAGTTTCCCAGATACTTGGCAACCAAAATATGGCTTACCTTGCATAGGTTTAGCAGCAATTCTCATCTGCCAAGATGCCTGGTCACAGAAAACAACTGCAGATGCCAAGAATATGCTGATCATGCCAAAAATAATCGCTCCACTTGACCGGAATGTCACGACACTATTTCCCTCATTGCCCTCTGGCCCGACAACGCAACTGATCTTGTCGTAAAGTCTCTCAAGAGATCCAATGGAATCAACATGATG